GCCACCATGCCCAGCTAATTTTTTGTATTTTTAGTAGAGACGGGGTTTCACCATGTTGACCAGGTTGGTCTCGATCTCTTGACCTCGTGATCCACCAGCCTCGGCCTCCCAAAGTGCTGGGATTACAGGTTTGAGCCACCGCGCCCGGCCGGGGTGGGTGCTATTTTAATGCCTTTCTTCCTCAAGGTGCCCCTTCTTCTTGCTGGCCTCTGCCTTTTGTCTCTGGAAATGAGAGAAACCTTTCCATCGTCCCTCCACAGGGATAAAGGCTTGGGGTGGGGGTGGAGGTCCCACCTGTTCTTCCATCTTTTCTGTCTCTGTCTGGGGGAGGTGGAGGCCCCGAGGTGGGAGGAGGAAAGAGCAGGCTGAGGAAAGGTATAGAAAGGGGTTTTCCCTCCCACCTCCCCCGTTTCCCTCTACCACTGCGGGGATGGTGGCCACAGACTGTGCAGGCTGGTGTCAGGCTAAGGTGACAAGTGTGCCTGGGTGGAGATGGGGGAGGGAGGGGGCTTTCTGGAGGCACCTGGCCAGGCAGTCATGTGCGGAAGATTGTCACCCTGAGATCCACTCTGCATCCCCAGGGGGTGGCAGGTTAGAAGGGGTGCAGCATCAGACTGCTGGGGTCTGCTACCACACAGCACTGAACACCCACAGCCTTTTCAACTCCACTTCTCCAAAATGTAGAAATGGAATGCCCTTTTCCATTTCCCCACAGTGAATTCTGGGCTAATAAGTGAGAATGTGTCGCACGTAGCTTAATGAGGAGGTGAGACATTAAATCCAATTCGTAGAAGGCGAGAACTCCTAATGGCTTCTGTGTAGTGCCTGGAACCTGGCTGACAAAAATGTTTAATCACTGCCTCACCAAGCACTAATTTGCCAACGAATCTATTTTTTAAAATCTCAACACTTTATTAGTGGTTGTTACTTTCAACATATCTGGTGATAAATCTGACATTTATCTCATAAATCTGACAAGAGAAGAAGAGGTAGGCGAGAGCAGCACTAAATCAGAAGTGATAAGTATGTCTCTACGACAGATTTTGCTAGTTTGGAGATTGCAGTGGCTGGCGAGGCTGACTTCATGTGTTAGCAGCCTAATGGAAACCACTGTCATCGTTAGTGGAAAAAAATATGGTGGTTTAGAAAGTAACTTTCTTTTGAGTTAATCTCAATCTTTCTGTTGCACTGAATCAGTGTTACTCATCATTTTTTGCTTATTTTAATCAGAGACTTATACAGAATCCTTCCAAACTGAACTAAGTGTCTTAATTTTCTAAGCCTATAATCAAAATCAAATAGCACTTTCACGGAATTGCCAGTCAAACCAAGGCTTTGCCTTTTATCTTTTTCCCCCAAAATAACCTAGAAAATCTGACCTTTGCAATAACAAACCCCCATGCCCCACGCTTTCCTTTCTCTAATACCATCAAATAAGAACATTAGATATTCTTTGAACCTAATTTTTCATTTGTTTAAAATCCTTTAAAGTTGGGATTTGAAGAAATCCCCTCCCTCCCAGTGTCCACGTAAAGACTCCCTGTTCTTGGCTAAACTGCTGTGTGGTGAGATGGGGTCTTGTTTTAAGCTGGGCTACCAGGAGCTGGAGATGGTTACATTTCACCAATAGGTTACAGGATTTTCATTTATTTCTTAACTGAGCTTTCTCTCAGGGGTGAAGCACTCAGCCTTATGTACAGGATGAAAAAGTAAATATTACATTAATTTTATTATGAATTATTATTTTGAGACGTAGTCTCTCTTTGTTGCCCAGGCTGGAGTGCAGTGACGCAATCTCAGCTCACTGCAACCTCCACCTCCTGGGTTCAAGCAATTCTGGCACGTCAACCTCCCGAGTAGCTGGGATTACAGGCGCCCACCACCATGCCCGGCTAATTTTTGTATTTTTAGTAGAGACAGGATTTTGCTGTGTTGGCCAGGCTGATCGCAAACACCTGACCTCAAGTGATCCACCCGCCTCAGCCTCCCAAAGTGCTGAAATTACAGACGTGAGCTGCCACACCTGGCCTAAATATCACATTAAATTTTTTAAAGTCCGGAGTAACCAAAGGGGATTTGGAGTACTCTCTTCGTCAACCACTATTCCCATGGCCTTTATTACCCCCCTACTTCCTGTTTTCCCAATAACCATCAGTTTCTGTATGTCTTTTTTAAAATACTTGAGCAAATGACATTACGGATAGTCCACAGATTATAAACATATTTGCATAAAAAAGATGGGCAGGTGTTCTGAAGAGTATCACAGTATAATACCAGCATCCTGTTAATTCACCCAGGTACTTTATAACAATAAACCAACAAGACGGGTTCAGTTCTCATTGCTGTTTTCTTTCTTTCTTTCTTTTTTCTCATGGGTCACTGAGGCTTTTTTATTTTGAGCACAAAATCACTGGGGATCTTGCCTGTGGCCACCCTGGAGATGACCCTGGAGGCTCACAAGTCTTGGTGGGAAGTGAGGCGAGAAAAACAATGATGTGGGCCAGTTACATGACTGCAAAGCGAGGGCTGCCAATAGGGCTCCAGGGAGCTTGGCTTCTGAAGACGTTCTAAGGAAGCGGTGTGAACTCCATGGCGGTGGGCGAGGGGAGCTAACTAGCAGGGGTCCCTGCCAGTGTTGGTCGGGAGCCTCAAGCTGCCCAAGCTGACACGAGGGGAGGGGTCTAATTAGGTAACAGGTGACTGAAGGGCTGGCCTCCCCACAGCTTATTTGGCCAGGGGGTTTCTGAAGTTCCTGCCAGCAAACAGCCTTGCTGCCCAGCTCCTCTTCAGTTCTGAGGAGCAGGTTGTACTTGGCCAGGCGTTCAGATTGGCAAGGGGCACCAGTCTTGATCTGCCCAGTGCACAGCCTCACCACCAGGTCCATGATGAAGGCATCTTCAGTCTCCCCAGAACAGTGAGACACCATGACACTCCAACCACTGGCCTGGGCCAGCTTGCACCTGAGGGGACTCGGTCATGGAGCCAATCTAGTTGACTTTGAGCAGGAGGCAGTGGCACGACTCGTCATTCGTGGCCTTGGCAATCCTCTTTGGGTTGGTCGCTGTGAGATCGTCCTGCACTACCTGGATTCCTGCACTGGCCGCGAACTTCTGCCAAGCTCCCCAGTCATCCTGGTTAAAGGGGTCTTCAATAGACACCACTGGATAGTCCTTGATGAAGGACTTGTACGGGTCAGCCAGCTGGTCAGGTGAGATGTACCTGCTGGGGTCATCGGAGACTTGAAGTCCAGGTCGTACTTCCCAGACCTGAAGAACTTGGAGGCCACTATGTCCAGGTGGATGACCACCTTGTCCGTGTAGCCAGCTTTCCCACTCGGCGGCTTCAGCAGCTCCAGGCCTTCTTTATTCTTCAGGACATTGGGAGCAAACCCGCCTTCAGCCCCTACATTGGTGTCTTTCCCATGTTTCTCCTTGATGGCGTTCTTCAGGTTGTGGTAACCTCCACTCTAGTGTGCATGGCTTCCCTGAAGTTTGTGGCACCCACTGGGAGGATCATGAACTCCTGCATGGCCAGCTTGCTGCCAGCATGGAACCGCCATTGATGACACAGAATGCCAGGACTGGCACGATGACTTTGGAAGTGCCAGCCAAGTTGGCTATGTGGTGGTACAGGGGAACCCCTTTGTCAACAGCACCAGCTTTGCAGACAGCGAGGGACACCCCCACAATGGCATTCACGCCAAGCTTAGATTTATTTTCTGTTCCATCCATCTCGATCATCAGTATGTCAATCTTCTCTTGGTCTGTGACGTTCAGTTTCTTGCTGAACAGGGCAGGTGCAATAGTTTTATTGATATGCTCAACAGCCTTTGAGACACCCTTCCCCATATAGCGAGTCTTAGCATGTCCCAGAGCTCTAGGGCCTCATAGATACCAGTTGAAGCACCACTGGGCACGGCAGCTCTGAAGAGACCTTTTGCGGTGAAGAGATCAACCTCAACAGTGGGATTCCCACGAGAGTCAAAGATCTCCCTGGCATGGATCTTGAGAATAGACATGGTGAATTTCTAGCTTCTGATTCTCATTGCCTAGGAGAGAAGCAGAGGGTGTTGCAGACACCAAGGGGAGTATTCCTCATGGCTGTTTGCTTTGAAACTGTGGGAGTGGCATTGATCAGGAGGGATGTTACATATAATGTCGTGTGTATGTCTGGGGCTCTCAACAGTCTCAGGACCTATTTAAATCTTTAGCCGTATTTCAGGGAGAGGATCATTTTATTTTCATCATGGCATGAATCCATTCCGATTGTAGGACTTTGGCCCTTACAGGAGACTAGAAAATATCTTTTCCTAATTCCAGATTCAAATATTAAATTAAAACAGATGTGCAAAAATAAACAGAGATCTGCCACCAAAACAAGCTACCCCTCCACGAAACCGCCAACTTTGGGGAAAACCAGTGTCCACCGTTTCATGTCCTTATCCTAAACTCTTACAAAAGAACTGATTCACATTCCTTCTTGACTCATGGTTGTTTCAACGTCCAAAGAGGCCAAGGACGGAAGAAGAAGCGCTCTAGAAGTGCCTGGAATGGTCTCCACGCTCCCGCTTGGGCCACTCCTCCTCCACCCACCTGCGCAGAACCTTCTCCACGTCGGCCCTGTGATAGAGCCTGCAGAGCTCCATCAGCTGGCGCACCGTCCTCTGACTGTTCCGGAGCAAGAACTCCAAGGTGGGGCTCTGTGGCCTCTGCTCCAGGAAGCACAATTCATCATAGGGCATCCCCCATTTGCTTGCAAAATTCCTCCAGTTTTTCACCGTTGGGTGACATGGATCCAGCTTTATCCTGATCACATCTAATAGGTCCTGATCATTGAGCAAGTCACTGATGGTGGGGGCCCGGAGCAGGCAGGAGGAACAAGTACAGTTTTCTTTGCAGGAGTTGTCCTTGCTGATCTCTGCAGGGAGAAACAATATGGTCCATAGGTCAACAAGGAGCCTACCATATGTATTCATTTCTTACCTCATTTATTTTCCTGCTGAATTGTCAAAAGCATCATATGGAATACTGTTTCAGAATACTCATTTCTAATAATGTGTTACTCTTTTTTATTTTTTTGAGAAAGGGTGTCACTCTGTTGCCCAGGCTGGAGTGCAGCGGCATGATCTTGGCTCACTACAACCTCCACCTTCCAGGCTCAAGTGATCCTCCCACCTCAGCCTCCCAAGTGCCTGGGACCACAGGCATGTACCACCAAACTTGGCTAATCTTTTTTTTTTTTTTTTGTAGACATGGGGTTTCACCATGTTGCCCAGGCTGGTCTTGAATTCCTGGACTCAAGCGATCTGCCCACCTTGGCCTCCCAAAGTGCTGGGATCACAGGCATGAGTCACTGCACCTGGCTGTGTTATTTTCTATAGCCAAAGATGGGTTGCTTTGCTGGAAAGAGTAAGAGTTTTTAAATCCAGTTTCCCTTTCTTTCCAAGACTATGTCTTACAGTGTGCACTGATAACACTGCTGGCCAGAATAAGGGCTCCAGCCAACAGCACTGTCTCTGGGGCACAGGGGTCCAGTGGGGGCCAGACTCCGCAGTGCCCGTGAGTAACCAGCTCACACTTGCATGTGCCTCCACTTGCCCCTTCCAAGTGACCCGTCAGCCCTGACAGTTTAACACCAAACACGGCATGTCAGGGTGTAAAAAAACTGCACAGTTCTTTGAAAGGTCTTTTTTAAAAAAACAACACAGACATGAAAACTGGAATATCCACTCCATATGCATATTTGAAAACAAGTGATAGTTGATAGTGCCAGAAATCTTACTTTTTGAATTTACCACCCCCTTATCAGCCCTGTGCCTTTACCTATGTTTTCTTTACCCATGGCTCCCTTTGAAGTGGAGTCAACACCCTGGGGTGTGTGCATTGGGATGGAAAGAGGCAGAGAACCCAGCAGGAGGCTTTTCAGCTGAGCATCAGCATGAAGAGCATGCTCCCACCCCAGAGGAAGGGCAGCCGTTCTACCGAATCTTTCTTTTTTTTTTTTTTGAGACGGAGTTTCACTCTTGTTGCCCAGGCTGGAGTGCCATGGAGCGATCTCGGCTCACTGCAACCTCTGCCTCCCAGGTTCAAGTGATTCTCCTGCCTCAGCCTCGGAGTAGCTGGGATTACAGGTGCCCACCACCACACCAGCTAATTTTGTACTACCTTTGGTAGAGATGGGGTTTAGCCATGTTGGTCAGGCTGGTCTCGAACTCCTGACCTCAGGTGATCCACCCACCTCAGCTTCCCAAAGTGCTGGGATTACAGGTGTGAGCCACTGAGCCTGGCCCCTACTGAATCTTAAAGACTCAGTCATCCGTGTCCTCATTGTATTAGCAGGAGGCATGTACTCACATGCCTTTGTCCTACTCAGGGGGACAAAGTCCGTAGCTGAAAGGTATTGATAAGTCATTTGTAATAAAGTATTAAGTGGTGTCTAAATAACACGGCAAGTTAAGCAGCTTAAATTCTACAACACTGAGTCTCATGAGACATTTGAATTCAGATTTTAACAGCCAAAGGCCACTTTAGAGATCACCGGCTTGGAAAATTCTGGGGAAGGTTATGATGACCTTTACTACATATATGACATTGAGTTATGGCCTTCCCAGTTTGGGAAAGTAAAGAATTTGGACTGAGGGAGTAACTCTGGTGACCATAAGGTAGCAAACCAGCAATCTTGAGGCAAATGTAAATTAAAAGGTAATAAAACAAGAGCCATGAAAATGACGCTCATACTCTTTGACCTACTCATGTGACTTCTGGGAATCCAGCCTAAGGAGATAATCCAAAATATGTATTTACATAAACAATGTTATCACGGTGTTATTACATTATTAAGTTTCGAAAACAACCAAAATGTCTAAAGTTAGGGGACTAGTGAAATAAATGGTTGTACTACTTGATGGAATATTATTTAAGTAACTATGAAGACAGTATAACAACGTAGGAAATGTTTGTGACGTGAAAAGTGCAAGATGGAAAGAATGTATGAATTCTATGACTAGAGCTACATGAAAATCAATGAGCGGATAAAGAAAATGTGATTATATATATACATAATATATATATATGATGGAATACTACTCAGCCATTAAAAAGGAATGAATTAATGACCTTTGCAGTAACCTGGATGGAACTGGAGACTACGATTCTAAGCGAAGTAACTCAGGAATGGAAAACCAAACATCGTATGTTCTCACTCGTAAGTATGAGCTAAGCTATGAGAATGCAAAGGCATAAGAATGACACAATAGACTTTGGGAACTCAGGGGGAAAAGTGGGGAGTGGGTGAGGGATAAAAGACTACGAATTGGATGTAGTGTACACTGAGTGATGGGTGAACCAAAATCTCAGAAATCACCACTGAAGAACTTACTTATGTAGCTAAATACCACCTGCTCCCCAATAACCTATGGAAATAAAAAAGAAAAACACCCAGGGGAAAAAATTTCTCCCTGACCAGTCATGGTGGCTCGCACCTATAATCCCAGCAATTTGGGACGCTGAGGCAGGAGAATTACTTGAGCCCAGTAGTTCGAAACCAGCCAGCCCAACATAGTGCGACCCTGTCTCAGCTGCTCAGGAGGCTGAAAGGAAGGATCGCCTGAGCCCAGGAGATTGAAGCTGCAGTGAGCCGTGATCGTGCTACTGCACTCCAAGATGTTAGGTTTTAGATTTATTATTTATTTAGAGAGAGAGCCTCGCTCTGTCACCCATCGTGGAGTGCGGTGGCACAGTCATGGCTCACTGCAGCCTCCACCTCCCGGGTTCAAGCAATGCTCCCGCCTCAGCCTCCTGAGTAGCTTCGACCACAGGTGCGCACCACCAGGCTAATTTTTTTGATTTTTTTGGTAGAAATGGGGGGGGGGGCTCACTATGTTGCCCAGGCTGGTCTCGAGCTCCTGGACTCAAGCAATCTACTAACCTCACCTTCCCAAATTGTAGGGATTACAGGTGTGAGCCACCACACTCAGCTAGTTTTATTTTTTGAAGAAGGCAGGGGAAGAAAGAGGCCCCAAGCCATCTCCCAGCTAGCCTCCTCTGCTGCTCCTCACTGCCCACTCCTCTCCTAGAACGCGGAGCTCAGTCCAGCCTCAGGAGCTTTGCCCCAGCAAGTTCCTGTTCCTGGGACGCTCCTGCCTTAGATCTCCACAGGCTGGGTCCTTTGCATTGTTAGGGTCTCACTGCCCCTTCTGAACTAAAATGGCACCCTCCCCCTGCCAGGCTTAATCCCATGACCCTGGCTTATCTTCCCCGGGCACCTACCACCATATGAAATGACTTACTGATTTTCTGTTTATTGTTTTTCTCTCCCAACTAGAATATAAGCTGCCAGAGGAAAAGAACTCTTGGATGTCTGGTGTCACTGCTGCATACCAGGCACACAGCAGGTGCTTAATAAACATTTGATGAATACATCAAATGAATGAGGAGTGTGACATAGTTAAAAAAAAATCAAATTAGAAATTGGGCTTCTTGGCAGCCCAAGAAGAGCTCTCTAGCTAGAAATTTTCAAACCAGCAGACACCAGTTTCTTTGGTGTTAACAAGGCGGCCACAAGATTGCTATGGAGAAGGAGGACACTGTGTACCATGGAGAGTAACGGCATGAGCTTTAGAGGCGGCTAACCCTGTGCAGATGGGCGACTTGGACAGCTTACTGAGCTTGCTAAGCCCCTGTCTCACTCCCCAAACAGGGATAATGACACCTCTCCCACAGGTGGTTGTGAGGATTAAATGAGGTAATCCTTTAAAGCTCCCATTCTAGCACACAGTAAGAAGCATGCAACAATGAATAGGATAGCTGTGAGGAAGCATTAATAGCCAACAGCCTTTTTCAGGAGAATTGCTTGAGCCTGGGAGGCGGAGGTTGCAGTCAGCTGAGATTTTGCCACTGCACTCCAGCCTGCGCGACAGAGTGAGACCCTGTCTCAAAAAAACCAAACCTTTAAGAAAGGTTTTTAAAAAGGTCTTTTAAAAAGTAGTGGTCTGGCTGGGCGTGATGGCTCACACCTGTAATCCCAGCACTTTGGGAGGCTGAGGTGGGTGGATCACCTGAGGTCACGAGTTCGAGACCAGCCTGACCAAGATGGTGAAACCCTGTCTCTACTAAGAATACCAAAAAATTAGCTGGATGTGGTGTCGTGGGAGCACAAACCCATAATCCCAGCTACTTGGGAGGCTGAGGCAGCAGAATCACTTGAACCTGGGAGGCGGAGGTTGCAGTGAGCTGAGATCGTGCCATTGCACTCCAGCTTGGGCAACAAGAGCGAAACTCAGTCTCAAAAAAAAAAGCAGTGGTCCTCAACCTTGGCCACAGGATGGACCTCCCCACCTCCACCCCACCAAACCCCCAAGGAAATTTACAAAACCCTGATATCTCGTCCTGCCCTCAGAGATCCTGATTAATTAGTCTGGGATGCAGGGAGGACATGCGAGTTTTTAAAAGCTCGCCTGGGACGTCTAATGTGCAGCCAGGACTGAAAACCTCCGCCTGCCTTGAAGACATCTCCAGACTAAGTATTTAGTCAGGAGCGCCTGCCAGAATTAGATTTTGGAATTACACCCACTTCTCTTTGAGAGATTTCATGTCTGTTGTGTGATTAAGAGTTCTCGGATACACAGTGTTTCCCACACTCACAAGCAGATGAGTGGGTTTTCCATGGGGCGTTTCTCCCCATCATTTCTCACTCACATATTTTAAAATTATACTGTAAAGAAGAGTTTAGGTATCAAGCATGCTCATCGATGGCATTTAAAACACTTGTAAAAAAAAAAACAACAGTGAATGTCTGGTAGTGCCTGTATCCAAGTTGTAAGTTCATGGCTGGAGGGTTATAAAATACGGGTCAATTAACAGTTAATTGTGAATTGGAACAAGATTTAGAATTCACAAACGTCACGATTAGCTGAGCGT